ATTGTGATTTTGTTACTAATTAATAATTATTTTTATTACAGGGTTGGATCCTAACGCACTTCCCCCTTATCTCGGGTTAGTTACTAGCTACTTATTATATTGAAGCTAAGTCGTGTGCCACTGCATACAAACCGCTCTGAGGGAACCAGGCGACAGATTCGTTCCAAGTGTATATTGGCAGGCTGGCGTTTAAGGACATACACTTCCATTCATACCACAACCACCGTGCCACGATACCATTTGATGATTTTGCGTTGTTTAATTGATAGTTGGCTTACGGGTCGCACAAGACAATTGCTTATATGCCTGAGCGTGTCATGCGTCAGTTCAGGTACACCCAATACATTCCCCGAGATCCTGTTTTATGTGTTCATCCCCTGGTGAAACGCAGGGATATGGATGCCTTGTTTGATGATTATGGGAATCATCATGTTCCAGATGAGACCCGGAGTACCATTTCTCCAGACGATTGGAGCTACGTGGACGGTTATATCATATGGTTCTTCAGGGTGTCTCATCCATACCTGGTACAGGATGCTCTAGGAAACCCACTGAGGCCAGCTCATCAGGAGATTCTAGAGGAGGAGCAGCCACAGGCCGGTCATGCCACTAATGTGTTGCCTAGGTATCATCATATCATGGACATTACACTGGAGGGTATTGATAGAGGTTTGTTTCCTGATGGCTCTGATGTTAGAGATGTTCTGGATGCCATCATGGCGGAGGCTCGGGGAGCTCTACAGTGCAGAAGGTAGCGAAGGAACGCCGAGAGGGTGACGGGCCGACTCAGAGTCCGTCGTACCTAGTAGTCTTTGATGTTGTATATGTATTTTGGTTATCTTTTTTTATTGTATTTGAATAATATTTTGGATTACCCCCTATATTGACTACAAGCACCTTTTGTATTGTTTACTGATATCTATTTATATATATATATATATATATATATATATATATATATATATATATATATATATATATATATATATATATATATATATATATATATATATATATATATATATATATATATATATATATATATATATATATATATATATATATATATATATATATATATATATATATATATATTTGTTCTACATGTCGTTGTAGTATGTTTTGTTGTGTATGTCTTTCTATTCAATGTGAAACAACATGCAAAAAGACTCACTTCCAGCATAAGTCTTTCTGCTACTGTCTGCACAGAAACCAAAAATACATTTCCGGTTCACTTCGGAAATATATTTTCGGTTTCTAGACAAAGTTTAACAGAAAAAGGTGCACATCGGAAATATATTTACAGTTTCCAAAGGAATTTTAGAAAATTCATAGGGCATTTCTTTATACTATAGGATGGAAAGAGATATTCTCTAAATTAAAAGAGAAAATAATATACTTGGGAGTGAGTAACCTAATCTTGGGCCTTAGACCATTTTTAGAACTGCTAACTATTTTTAGTGAGGTGTTTCCGTTTTCTCCTTTCCTCAGTTTTCGGACCTTCATTTGCGGGATTTGATTATATTTCTGATTCCATCTAGCTTAATGATGACTTGCAAATGTTCATCTCCTTTACTTTTTCCTTGTTCTTTGATTCTTCAAATCCTTTCCTTTTTAATCAATATTGGTTCCTTACTTTTGGAGTCGCTCACTCATTTATTGAGTTCCCTGGACACGAAGAAATAAGACCAATGTTCCTTTAAATATGATTCCATTTTATCCATAAAGTCCTCATTAATGTGATATTTTAATTTGAGGTGAACTGTCGAAGAGATGGCTCCTAGGGAAACTAGTGTCGTCTGATAGTATAGTTGTACACATGCTTATAATCAATCACCAAGAATTGAATCTTTAATGATTTTTGGTCTCCTTCCTTCAAAAGGACACCATTAACTTTACATATCCCCACGTCCTCATTGTTGAGCCGTTGAATCTTGTAAGCTCCCCTGATCCACCAAAACCCATTGTTTCTTGATGTTTACCATAATGGCTCTTACCAATAGTAGGACGTGATGGAATTCCATTAACTACTTCCTTGTCATTGAAGAATATTGGTGGTCTGACTTTATTGTATTGATTTTTGTTGCTTTCTGGTCATGTATAGAGTTACACGAGGCTCCTTCATAATGAGGGAACCCACCTAAAACTACCTCATTTATAACTAGTGCACCTTGGTATGAGAAGACTTAGCTCGCTCGGCCAACCCCAAAATCAGATATCTTAGGCTCTACATGAATGTTAATGGGGAGCGTCCCCACAGTTGTCATGGGTCTTCTTATTCATTAGGATGGATGAATTCTCCCATTCTCTGAATTCCACCTACAACCACTATGTAAGCGATCGGTAGTCTGTTTTCTTCTTCATCATCAGAATGCTTATGCTTCTTAGTTGCTTGTGTTGCTTCACTATTTTTTCCCGGTGTACTATCATTTCTCGACCACTTTTCCTTGGATCTAACTTTATCTTGGTGGGAAAATATATGCAATCTTACCTTCTAAATCATATCTTAAATATCATCATTCAATTGAACACATTTGTTTGTGTTATGACTATTGCATTAGTTAAATAAAAAGTGTTGAGACTTTTACCCTCCATGATGTTTATGGATAGGCTTTGTGTTTCAATTTTATCTTCTTGAAACTCTATGTTCATGCATTCTTGTAGGATGCGCTCACTCGGAGCATTCAGTGGAATATAGTCAATGTATCTTGATAGTAGTTCCCATTTTTTTGGTTTGGTTAGGGATTCTTTCTTAACTTTGCTTTTCTTCTCGGCCCCATATTGAGTCTCCTCATTTCATTTTTGTTACTTTTTTCTTTATCGAACCCTCCTTTATAAGTTACCTTGTTAGCTGCTAACTTTTCCTTACATTGTATATTTTTCGTTCGTCCTTAGCAGACTGTTGAAGATTTTAGAGGATATGATACCAATTCTCTCAACAAACTTGGATCCCAATTAAAATCCAAGACCACAGAGGTATTTCTTCATCTCATAATCGACACATTTTAGTAGTAACACTTCCTTATTAAAACTTTCAATATAGGATCGTAGTGTCTCACCTTTTTCTTGCATAATAGGCCCCAAGCTTTCAATTGGCTTGGGTTGTTTCCAAGATGTTGTGAAATGTGTTGTGAAATGTCTATGAATATCTCTTCACAAAGTAATAGACCTGTTATTTATACCTCTAAATTAGGCCACAGATTTTTCCTTGAGAGTGAGGATAAACAATTGCTTTTTCAAGGCCTTTTGCTCCACAAAAATTTAGAAATGCATCAACCAACTCCATGTGCTCATCAAAGTTATTTGTCTTGTCATATGTTTCCATCCCTAATTGTTTTTGGAGTCCATATGTGATGGGGTACTCGTTGATCCTTCTGCTAAATACATTTTGGAATGAAATTTCTTCCTCTTCTCCAGAGTCGTGGGAAAACGGGGAATATGGGGTTCTTTAGCGACTATGATCACGAAACTTATGTTGTTCGTCTTTCCATTTGAAACATAGTAAGGGATATTTTCATGATGGAAGAGACCAAGTTCTATGACTTCGGTGACCCCTCACCCTCCGGTACCGCGGCGAGTCATCACTTGTGTTTGTCATTACGTCATCCTAAAGCCTAAGAGGTTGGAAATGACAATGATTTCTATTTTTGATTTCTTGAAGTTGTTTATTCTTGAACTCCAAAACCGTAGACTTCATGTTGACCTCCATTAGTAAGTTTCCAAGTAAAGTGCGTGTTTCTGTGTTTCCTACCTATCTCTCCAGGAGTAATTGTGAGGTGTGTTATTTCTTTCTTGAGGTGATCATCCACGCTTGTGATCACCAGCGTCTCCTATTCCAAAACAAGGGGTGCAAGATCCTCAATTGACATAGGATGTTGGATCTTACTTTCTAGTTCAGATAAGGAAGTGATGAGTCCTCCTTCTGGCGTGGGCTCCTCCTCACGAATTCGCTTGTCACTGATCACAGACAGTTAAAGTAGCGAGTTGCTCTTTATCCTGGTTTGCGATTTGTTGTTGTTTTGAAATGTGGTTTAAACGTTATCTTCTGTTCATAAATACGACGCCAAAATTCCTTCCTATAAGAAAGCTTCTTTTCAAATAAGATAATAGGCAAATATTTGCAGTCTCGGGCCTAAAAATCCTTAATGTCTTGGTTGTTTTGGTTGAATCAAGGGGGTGGTACCTGGAAATACTATAATGCTCAAGTCCGTGATTGTCGGATATGAAAGGTATATAGTTTTTGAGAATGTTATTGTATACCTTAATTTGACATCTGAACGTACACCTTTATATAGGGGTCTTAATAGGATTTTTGAATACTTATAACCTTAGTTTTAACCATAGTAGCCCCAGTAGACATATGTCAGAAAATAAATTATTATGTTATCTGGCGATCCTTTTTTAATTGTATATTAGTTTGATCAATTGCTTTATAGAAGAGGTATATATCTGCTCCATATGTCCTAGAACCTTTCACTGAATAATCGATATTGAGACAAATATTTTGTCCTCTTACGTCATTGACCTAACGTCAAACTATTAAAAATATTTTCAATTTTTGAATTTTATGACTATATTTGTGCTCCTTCACATTGAGTCAAATTGAGACCGAGACGGGATAATAATAATAATAATAATAATAATAATAATAATAATAATAATAATGATAATAATAATAATGATAATAATAATGATAATAATAATGATAATGATAAAGATAATGATAATAATGATAATAATAATGATAATCATAATAATAATAATAATAATAATGATAATAATGATGATAATAATGATTATAATGATGATAATGATAATAATAAATTTTCACAGTGCAAACTACGAAATGAATTGACATAAAATAGTCACAACTTACAAACAAATTCAATTTAAGGATAAATTAATAAATTAAAAGAAAGATTAGTGCCTTATTAAACAAGAAATTACAACAACAAAAAAAAAAGGATGCAAATTATGACACAAACATACACAACTCAGCTCTAGTATAGAATTTGATGAAGACTTTTAATCTTCAACTCATTATAGACAGCATTCCAACCAGCTTGTGTAGGGTGCAACCGATCCCAAAAGAAAGTTGATTCTGGATTTTCACAAACCAGATATTTCTTAACATTATTCTCATCCACACTTCCACAATTATACTGACTACTAACTCCAAAGCAACATGGCTTCAAACGTTCCTTGATGTTATGTCTTGAAGGATTATTCAACACCGAGTTAAAACTGTCAAAAATATCTAGAATAGCAAAGGTGGTGTGATCTTTGGTTTCTCGGTTCAACTTTGTCACAGATTGATTCAACAGATTGTTGTGGAGAGCCACAAGATCATTGAATGTACTATTGCAACTTTGGAATGATGTTTGAGCAGTAGATTGAGGAAGACAACCAAGAGGATGTAAAGCACCCACAACAATTCTCTTAAACCCTAATCTTTGGAGATGAACCAAATTGGTGGTGGTTTGTTTAACCACTGAGGCAATGAAAGATGGAAAACCCTACATATATTTAAAAATTTAATTTAATTATTTATTTATCATTATCCTACAATAATAATAATAATAATAATATAATATATTATGAATTTAAAGTGAAATAATTTACCTGAAGAGAGCCATTTGTGGCCAAGTAATGATTGTAGTCATTTCCAGCAACAGATACATAAGCAATAGATTTTGTGATATCTGATTGAGTGTAAATATTTTCTTGAACAAGTTGGTTGAAGGAATCAATTTGAGATGTCATATTTGGACCTGAAGTGGATGTATCAAATACACCTGTACCACCATATGCAAAGTTCATTCCATACTTCAAATAATTCTTAGCTACAATATTCCTGAATTTGTGGGGAATAGGTGATCTCAATCCCAAATACTTTGCTGCATCACATGTATAAATTTATAATATTATTAGTTAAATTTTTTTATACTCAATAAGATATCACAATATCTTTTGCTTATGTAACAGTGTATAATAATGGTAGGAGTTGGTCTTTGATAATATAAAAGCACAAGGTAAAGTGGCAAGCCAGCATGGAAAATGAATAGCAAAGTATATATAATACAAAGTAACTGAAATAAAGCATGTGAGTTAATTCCTAAACGCATCACTTTTCAAGCAAAGCTAGAAAAGTAGATTCATATAAATAAAATAAATCAAACAAAAAGCATGCACTTTTAAGAAAGCATGTGCTTTGAAGTATTCTAATCCAATTGTTAATAATATTATTAGAAAGGAGTTACGTACCAATGAAGTCAGTTAAAACTCTTCCATCAGAAAATCTTCCGGCTGGTTTTCCGGGAAAGGTTATGCCATAAGGTTGTTTCCATGAACCAGGTTTAGTTTTTGGGGTGTTGCCAGTATCAACATATGAGTCCCCAAAAACAAACAATTCTTTTGAAGGATGGTATTTGATGTGACGCTTGGCCTCAACTTGCAGCCCTAATTAATAACCAAAACCAAGAAGATGTATACTAAGTTTAGGTTTCTGATAAAAAATTGTGTCGATATTGATACAGTTATTCGTTGCTTTTATGATGAAAAACAAGTTGTAACACCTGAACGGATCAAAATCGCGAAAGTTTTTAAGCAAATGCGACGCGACCCTTGAAGGGGATTAAATATATTGGTCATAAGATGATTCATTGTTGTAGTGCGTGTTTGATTTTATGACATGATAGATTCATAATCATACATACCTGAAAGAAGTACAAGAACTAGAGAAAGGCATAAGAGGATGAAAAGTTGCTTGTGTGAGTCCATGAGCTAGCAAAATGTAAATGATCAAGGAGATGAAAATATAATGGAATGAACAATGTGAATAGGTAAGTATGGTAAGAGAATGAATTATAGGGGTTGGTGTTGAAAGTGCTATGAATAAATAATGGAGGAGTTTGGGATTTTATAATGAAAGGACAACACTTGGAACGTGTGAATTATGTCACAAAAATGGATTGAATGGTTGAATGTGTGAATTATTATAAGATTTGATTTTGTCATTGGGCTGCTAGTGAAAACACGGTGGAAGAATGAAGACTTGAGTAAAATAATAAAACTAAAGTTGGTTTGGTCAGGTCTATTTTAGACTATAAAGTGAGTATGATTATGTTTTAATTTTAAATGTAAAAATTGTATGGTTAATCACGTGTTAAAAGTACTCTTTTCAATCTGTTAAAAAAAGGTACTCTCTTTAACTTTTATAATCAAAGTTATCTTAGGGAGCTTGTTTTGATTTATAAATGTTCCATTGCCAAAATAAGAAATTAAATAATTTAGATAAAAAATCTGAAGTGTTTTTTGATTTGGATAAAAAATATCAATTTTAAGATTTTTATATCATGATGAATGGGGTCATTATATAAGATACAGGGAAAGTGGTAAAGGCTTTTGGTATCATTTGAGAGGTAGTTTAGGATTGTACCTTGAATTGAATATTTGTAATATGGAGACTTTTTGTTCTTCGTGATAGAAATAAATTTTGTTGGGATTGATTCTTTTAGATATTAGAATACTAATGTTGAGGATGAAATTGGTTGGTGGGGACTCTTGGATAATATAGAAGTTTTATCGATGGATTGTCCATTAAAAGCATTGTCATGGCTATTTTAATGCTTCTTCTGCCTCAGATAAGGGAACCACAGTGTAAGCTTTTCTACTTCGATCCAACTTGGGTATTGCCAAAACAAATTGGCCTAAAAACATATTAGTCGATTCACATGGAAAAAATAATTTGGTTTGATTAAGAGTTTCTAAAAGTAGTTGAAGACATCGTGGTTAGCGAAGTCCTTTCTTCGAGGATCTTCAATGAAGGGTGGTTTATTTGTCTACAGAGTTGGGGATTGGGTTTGTACATTATAATGTCTTGCAGAGCCCAATCTTGTGTGTTACAAGATCATATATTGAGGATAATAAAATATTTGGTATGGACTCTGATTTTGACAGAGTTTTGGATGGTCTAAGTGGTACAATCCTAGATTTTGACATTAGAAACTTTACTACCAAGGACATCGTCTCCCTAAAGCCCAACTTATGTTGGCGAGTGCCCTTTTTAGTAAAATGTTCAAGACATGTAAGTAAGATTTGATATGACTACATGGAAGAAATCGCTTTTTTGGTTGTTTTCAAGCAACACATGCTCAAAATTTTCTTCTACCTAATCATATTGACGGGCCAGAATATGTCATTCGAAGAGTGTTGTATTATATTATCCTTAGATATTTTCTTATAATTCTTTTATTTCTTGTTGATGAGGTTTGTGTTGGGCTTGGGCTCCCTACCTATTTGAAGAAAGATTCAAATGTGAATAGCTCATTTGTCTCACTTATATAAGTAGAGAGTGTCAATTTAGGGTTAAGAGAAATAGAGAGAAAATAAAGATTCAAAAGAGAGAAAAGAGGAGAGAAACTCATTCCCGTTTTTCCTGCATAAGTCTCACTAAAACGAAGATCTCCTATTCGTTAACTGTCAGGTCGAGCTGAAATTTGGTGGATTTGTTCGCAACACATATATCTAACTTTCGACCATTGTGATCTTCAAAACAAGGTATGAGTTGAGATATACCGGCTTCACACTGAAGCTGCAAATTTGAGAAAATTTTCAGCTTTTTGATTCTTATTTGTAAGTTAATTTGCTTTGTGATTTGCGGTTGTCATCACTATTTTGTGAATTACTTTAAGACTCTCTTGTAACTTCAATTGATTATAGTGGATCTATTTTCTTTGGTATGGACGACTCATGGTTTTTACTCTTATATTAAGGGGTTTTCCATGTTAAATATATAGGTGTGCTTTTTATTGTTCGGTTGTCGTCTTATATTTGTTGTTGATCCTCAAGGTTCCTACAAGTATGGAAAATATTATATCTACTGCGTATTAGTCTATTATTGTGTCTTAATTTCACATCAGAGTAGCATCTGAGCTCTTGGTTAAGGGTTATTTTACTTGTTTGAATGATGAAGTCAAATACAAAGATGAAGATGGTATTGTTGAATGGTTCTAATTACCATTTATGGAAGGGCAAGATGAAAGACTTACTATTTGTGAAGAAATTGTATTTACCAGTTTTTAGTTACATAAAGCCGGATTATGTATCTGATGAAGAATCGGAGTTTGAACATTAACAAGTATGTGGTTTTATTCGATGGTATATAGAACATAATGTTTATAATCATATTACTAATGAGACACATGCAAAAACTTTGCGGGAGAAGATAGAGTATGTGTATTCCTCTAAATCAAGGAATAATAAATTGTTCTTGTTGAATAGCTTCATAAGTTTGAAGTATAAGGAGGAGACTTCTATTTCAGATCACTTGAGTGAGTTTAAAGGTCTCCTTTATCAGATGTCAGGAATGAGTATCAAATTTGATGATGAACTTTTGGGAATATTTCTATTGATATCTTTACCATAGTCTTGGGAGATATTTCGGATTTCTATTACAAGTTCTGCTCCTAAAGGTGTTGTTTCTTTAGAAACGGCTAAGGATGGTATTCTTAATGAGGAGATGAGAAGGAAGGCATAGGGTTCTTCATCTCAATCTGAGGTACTTGTCACTGAAAATAGGGGGAGAAGTCATAAAAAGTAACCAAAGGATGATAGAGAGAATAGAAAAATCAAGTCCAAGCCACGATACAAGAATTTGGAGTGTAATTATTGTCATAAAATAGAACACGTACAGTAGTATTGTTATTAATGGAAAGGAGATGATAAAGGCAAGAAAGGTAAGTATAAACAAAGAGATCATGATGATCATGATGATGATCGTGTTACTACTGCTACTACTAATGATCTTGTTATTCTACGTGATCATGAGTCTATTAATTCTGTATCAGACAAGAGCATGTGGATAGTTGACTGTGGTGCTACATTGCATATTACACCAAGGAAGGATTTCTTCACATCTTATACTTCTGGTGATTTTGGAGTGTTGAACATGGGTAATGATGGTGTATCTAAGGTAATTGGTGTTAGTGATGTTTGCTTGCAAAGCAACATGGGAATGCAATTTTTTGCTTAGAGGTGTCAAACATGCTCCGGATGTCCGCTTTAATTTAATCTATGTACATATACTTGATGATTGTGGTTATGACAATCACTTTGGTTCTGAAAAGTAAAAACTTAACAAATGTAACTTGGTTGTGGCTAGAGGGGAAATATTTCTAAATTGTATTGGACAAAATCTTTGGTTGCAAGGGGCATTGTGAATGGTATCAATATGGAAGCATATTTGTGGTACCGAAGGCTTAGTCATATTAGTTAAAAGTGGATGAATGTTTTAGCTAAAAAGGATGTTCTTTCTAGTTTAAAAATGCATATTTGGAGAAGTGTTCTCATTGCATGACTGGTAAACAGACTAGAGTATATATCAAGACACATCCTCCCTCAAGGAAGTCAAAGTTGTTTCAACTAGTACATTTTAATGTTTGTGGGTCATTAAAGGTAAAATATTTTAGTGGTGCACTTTATTTTGTTATCGTTATTGATGATTGTTCCAAGAAACTATGGGTTTATATCTTGAAGACAAAAGATCGAGTATTGGAGAAGTTCAAAGAATTCCATGCTTCGGTAGAGAGGCAGACAGGGGAGAAGCTGAAATGTGTTTTTTCTGATAATGGTGGTGAATATTGTGGACCATTTGATTCCTATTGCAAGCAACACGACATTGCAAATGAAAAGACTCCTCCTAAAACTTCTCAATTGAATGGTTTAGCAGAAAGGATGAATCAAACACTAATTGAGAGAGTAAGGTGTATGCTCTCTGAAGCTAAGTTACCAAATCTTTATTAGGGTGAGGCGCTTTACACGGCGGTGTATGTTTTAATCTTACTCCTACTGTTGCTTTGAACACTGAAGCTCCATACAAGATTTGGTTTGGAAAGAATGTCAAGTATGATTATTTGAGAGTCTTTGGTTGTAAGGATTTTATGCATATTTTAAAGGATGAAAGATCCAAGTAGGATGCAAAGTCAAAACAATGTATATTAATCAGCTATGGGCAATATGAGTTTGGTTACAGGTTGTATGATCATGTGGGGAAGAAGCTTATTTGAAGCCGCGATGTAGTATTTATGGAAGACCAAAATATTGAATACATTGATAAGGTGGGGGAGATTACACCCAAGAAAGATATTGGTTTGTCTAATGTTGATCCAGTTTGGTTACCTAGTCATAATCTAGATGTTATTGGTGGTGATGATTATAATGGTGAAACATATGATTATGTTGATGATCAACAACTTGGAGATGAGGTAAATATTTCAACTAATGATTATGAAGGGGAAAGAGATATGTCACAATATGAGAATCTTGGTGAAGCTCCAAAATCATCTCAAGTTCAACTTAGGAGTTCTATCAGGCATAGACAACCTTTTACAAGGTATAATTCTGATGAGTATGTGACCTTGACTGATGAGGGTGAACATGAGTGTTTTCAAGAGGCCTTGGAATGAAAATCAAAAGTGGTTGAATTCAATGCATGATAAAATGAAATCATTGCATGATAAACACACTTATGATTTAGGTAAGTTTCCTAAAGGCAAAAGGGCTTTGGAAAACAGGTGGATTTATAGTGTTAAACATGAGAGCAACTCTAAGTATCCAGGATATAAAACTAGATTAACAATGAAAGGTTTCTGTCAAAGAAAGGGTGTTGATTTTAATTAGACTTTCTCACCTATTGTAAAGATGTCATCAATTAGAACCGTGTTGAGTTTAGTTGCTACTCTTGATTTATTGGTTGAGTAAATAGATGTGAAAAGACTTTC